GTTTTTGTTCTTGTGTAATGGAATGGATATTTTGATAATGAAATAACCTTTTGTTTGAATGAATTGTGTCTTGTTCTTCAAGTTAGAACCTCTTCCCTCCAAAAATATTTAAAATTTCCTTGAATATGACTTGAATCTTGTGTTCTTAAATGAAGTACCGTACCATGAATCAAACAAATCAAAACCTAAGATAGTCGCTAAGTAACCCTAATGTCTAATTCCATGTGGTAGTTCAAAATATCACCAACCAAATATTAGTGCCCCATAAAAAGTTGATCTAAGAGAATGATCCATCAAAGCCTTGTGGTGCCCAAAGCAAAAAGTCAGAAGTGCATATTGAACCAAACTTACAAATCATAATCCAATGCTTTACTTCTTAAATAGTGACCTTTGAATCAAATGATGGCACTAGAAGAATGCAATTGTGAATGAATGATATAAATGAATATGGTATGAGTATAAAGATGAATTAAAGATCATGATGAAAAGTTAAAAGAGGATGGAAAATTTTGGGTTATGACACTCTCATCTATGATACTTTGTGACTCCTTTAGTACCAGACGACTTTCGTAATCATTAAACATCCCATCCACCTGTTTACGTGTTAAAGCATGAGGAGTAAAGACCACAGGGTGTCTAGGAATGGTCTGAGTGTAGCTGAACCGTCGTATGACGTGCTCGGGCAGATGAGAAGCAATAAGACGTGATCCGCAGGCCAACCATCCTGAGTATAGAATTATCTCGTCAAATGAAAGCTTCTCACGGTGATCCCCATAGCTATTGAAGTGCATATCTTCGGCAACCAAACGGTCGAGGTACATTTTGAATGGCTTTGTTGCATGGTACCCTCTGAGCGGGGCAAATGCAGTAGCACGCAACATATCCTCAATGTAAGTCGATACACTTTCCCAACCGGAGATGCACGGGAAGTGCTGGAGGATTCAAGCCTAAATTTTTTGGAACACACGAATCATAAGTAATGGCGTTGCAAAGATGAAATGAAAATGACACAGAAAGAGTAAAAGACAAATAAATATTATCGTCAGTAGTATGATGTTGTTGGGGACCTACTTCGTCTTCTATCTACAGCCTTTTGATAGCTTTGAGTACATGTAGACCAAACAAGTGACGGCTCCCAGTTGTACTCATGGATATGCTTGAAGTCCTCAAAGTACTGTAGGTAGACGACATCTGTATAAGTGGCACTCTTGTCTGCAAAAATCGTAGGCCTAACCAAATATACCATGTATTCTCTCATAACATACGCTCTGTGGAGCCCCACTTGCTCGTCATCCCCTATAGTGTGTTGCGCTCTAACAATCTCATATGTGTATACCTTTTTCAGGAGTTCAAACCTAGATGATCACCTTTAGTTATATCCAACTCCTTCATAGTTACCACTGGGTCAATTTCCATATAGTCTTCCATCATCTCGAGTGCCTCGTCTTTGGTAATCCTCCCATGATCTAGAAGTTTGCCCCCTGATCGTAATATATAGCAAACACAACATATCGTCGAGTGTGATAGATATGTCACCATGCAGGAGATGAAATGACGAGGTCTCAGAGTACCATCTCTCCACGAATGCATTAAGAATCCCGTGGTTGGTCGTAATATAACTAGTCATGCACAAGTTATTCATCCTAAATAGGAATAAAGCTGTTTGAAGTCACTTCTCATTCGGTTGAGGCAAGCTAGTAATCTTTCTCTTGTGGTTAATAATCTTCAGTGGATCACGTTTCTGCAGAAAAATAAATAAATTTCATAAACTTGTAAACTAAAATAACCATAAATTAAAAGAATGAATCAACTAATGCTACCTCTCTGTCCCAGATATGTCTGGCAGTACAGTCTGGATATAAAGGCAGTAGTGACAAATCTACAGGGCCTCCTCTAAATGCCTCTGGATCAGCATCCTCAACAGCCTCACCATTTCATCATCATCATCATTAGTAGGAGGTGGCACTGGCTCAATAGGAGGTGACGCTGATTCAGCAACATCACTAGTATGAGGTACCACTAGTGACTCGGGTATCTCAAGCGCCTGAATAGGTGAAACTTAGTGTCTGCGAGAGAATGGAGGGAGTGATGCGTCGGTAGGTGAAACATGTCTCCTACATGAAGAAGAAGATGTAGAAGCATGAGAAGAAACATGAGCCCCAGAAGTAGATCGCTCTATATGGCTAGAGGGAATAAGAGCCTCTAATACCTGACTCTTCTCCCGCCGCACTGATGCATGTTGTGCAATCCTCCCCTGCCTCAGTCTATCATGTTTATCAGCCATAACGCCTGCAAGTTAAATTAAAATACACAATTAGTACAAGCAAGCAACACCACAAGCAAGAAAATAAAAATAAAAAAACTGAGAAAATTCCAAAGGTGCATCTTCGGTTATTGGGAAAGTTAAACGTCGAAAAATTCCAGAGATGCATCTCCAGAATTTTCTGCAACTTAGCAAGTGCGTCAATGACGGCAATACAAACATGGAAACACACACACAAATATTAGATTGGTCATCATTTTTAGCCAACAAACATATTTTACACTATCTCTAAACTATCAATCATGCAATATCAATTTATTTCATACTTTAATCATCAATTTCTACCAATTTACACAAAAACTCAAAAACTTTTCAAAACATAAAAAAACTTACAATGTTGGATAATTTTTCTGTTGATAATTGAAGATCCTTTGAACTTGGTTGCTTGATTTTGAACTTGGTGGTGAAAAAATTTAAGAGAGTTTAAAAAGATTTTGACAAATATCATAATTGAGAAAAAAGAATGGTTTTGGCACAATTTAAACTCTGAAATGTGAATTGGATACGTCCGGAAATACATCTCTAAAATCTAAAAGTATTTAAACATTTTCACGTAATGTATAAATAATATATAGAATGTATTTAAAAATTCTCTTAATTTTTCTTTCAAAAGAATGTTAGGATGATTCACCATGCATGTTGCATTGACAAGCCACACAGTTTGCATTTGATAATGAGTTATAGTATTAAATGAATTAGTTAATGAGTGATTAAAGTTTAAAAAAGTTTATTCAATTCTAATAAATTATAAAATAAAATAAAAAAATCTTTTTGGTTTTATTATGATTTGTCGAAAAGATTTGAAAGAGTGGGTATAGAATAATAGTTTAAAGATATATAATATTCCGAATCTTTTCTATTTCATAAAAGGTAAAAATAATAACAACTGGAATCTTTAATTTTAATTTCTATTATAATAAATACTATATCAGTTCTTTTGTATAGAAGACCATTTATTTTTTGGTTTATTGAATAATTAATATATTTGATTAATTAATTATTAATATATTTTACTTCTTTACAATTTAAGAATTATAATAAATTGTAATAACTTCACATTATTTTTAATAATAATTTTTTCTTTTCTTTGAGTAATCTCTCACATGTCCTTTTTGTTTTCTCAAGAAAATAATATTAATAAACTTCGAAGATCTCTTTGTAAATAAAAGAGAATAAATTATTGATGATAATTTTATATTTATTTTAATAATATTTCTATTATATCGAACTATTAAGTTTATCTTTTAAGTTTGTCATTTTTTTATAGAATATTTATTTTAATTTAATCAAATTAACTAGACATTAAAATAATAAATTCTATATTAATCACTAATAAATGACATTTATTTATAAACATAATTAAATATTATAGACGTATTTATCACTGAATAAATAAATTTGAGATGATATAAAAAATATTTAATTTTTCATTCTAAAAATAAAATATATTTTATAATTATTTAGATTCTTATTTGAAATAAAATATATTTTGAAATTATTTATATTTTTAGAAAAAGGTTAATAAAATAAAACAAAATCAATTGAGATTTTATAATTTTTTTAAACTTATCAAAAAAATTTCAAATTAACTTTATAATGGTAATCATGATTAAAAAAATAAAGTAAAAACATAAATGATATTCATGGAAATTTAATGTTAAATGGTAATTATGAAAAAAATAATGATAAATGATAAAAATTTATTGATACAATCATTTTTATAAACTAGAGTACGTTACTATTAATTTTATAGACGGCAATAAATTATCAAATAATTTTATAAACGGAATAAATTCAGCTATTGATACAATTATTTATATAAATGAAAATAAATTACAAATATTTTTATAAATGAACGCACGAGTTTAAGGTGCTTATAAACAAGAAAAAATTACAATAGTTTTATAAAAATAAAAGTTATAATTATTTTTATAAAAAAAAAGTTACAAATATTTTTATAAAGGAGAAAAATTTAAGTATGCATATAATTATTTTAACAGGAATAAGTTAAAAATTGTTTTATAAATTGTCATACCGAATTCAATATATTTATAAACGGAAAAAAAAATCCACAGGTTGATATAAATATATTTATATACAAAAATAAATTACAATAATTTTTTTAAACAAAAATAAATTATAAGTATTTTTATAAACGAAAAAAATTAAACTAATTATACAATTATTATTATAAACCTGAACAAATTACAAATATTTTTTATAAATAAATATATGAGTTTAAGACATTTACTATAACTATATAAATATTATACAAATTTGACAAATAAGAACTATAGACTTATAATGTGAATTCAGTTCATTACAAAAACATCAGCCACATCTTTTACATCTTAACAAATTGATTTACCTTTATAACAAGTAAACCATTAAAAGATGGTTAATTAAATTAACTAATTTCTAACTTATCTAACAAACTCGTAACCTCCCCAACTAACAATAATTCAACAAGTAACGAACTTGGCATGGTTTAAATTAAAATCACAACTAAATATTAACTAATTTTATATTTTCTATATTTTTAATCTCACACATTGATATAAAAGGAGATAGTGGGTCCCTCTTGAGTTTCCCCGTAGTTTTCAATTTTTGTGTGGGTGGTAAAGTTTGAACCTCGTTCGACCGCACGCTACACAGACATCAAGAATCTGGACTCAAGATGACGCGGGGAAAGCAGAAAATCGAAGCTCAGAAGCGTAACGCTGAAAAGAATCAGAAATCGAAAGGCTCTCAGATTGAAGCCAGAGCCGAAGGTCTCAAAATCACCTGCCCTATTTGCAAGGTTTTTCATTTTCCCCTTTCTTGTGTTCTTCAGTAATGTTATGCAATCGAATCAACAGATCTAGGTTTTGTTCATTTCTTTTTAGTTTTTCATATATATTTGTATTTTCAATTTTGATTGAAATATTGGATGAGAAATTGTTGTTTCAATTGTTGGATTTAATGATGCAAGTGTCGCTAGAATTACTAATTTTCTAGGGTTTAGATGGTTCAATTATTGCTTTGTTGATTATAATATTAAAGGCTACAGTAGTGCAAGTCTTAATTATTTTCAAGATTAGGTTCTTAGTTGGATTTGTTTGTATGTTTTTGTTGTTGGTTTGTTGCCTTGGTGGGACATATCTGAGCAACTTGTTCTAGTATCTTATTTAGTTTTTTGATACATATTTTTGAATTCGTTAATGGTGATTTGCGTATAATTGAAAGGAATCATCAATTAAATGAGATACATAAACTAAAAGTCGAAAATTATTATTTTTGTAAAATGGATTATGTCTGGTGTTAGGGTCGCAATTGAATGTTAGGTGAATGAAATGTTTTGTATTCTATAACTTTTGTTGAGGATTGGATTAGTTGTGTGGACTAGAAAATACAATTCTTTACAAACTATGGCATTGCGTTGTGATTGCTATGGTCCTTTCTAACTTTTTATGTTTTTGCTGACAAATATGGCTTAGATCCAAATCTTTATTGTTGTGACATACAGATGTTTAGAAAAGTGTTGCTTTTGTGGTGTCAATAGGAGAATTCATTGGCATTCTTTATTTGCATTGGTATCTGAATTTTTTTCTAAATTGTAACTTCATTGTCTTATAGAGAAAAAAACAAATCTGGTAACTGAGGTTGAAAATTATATTTCAGTTCTTTGCTTTTAGTTTTGGAATCGGCTATATTTATTTTTGAAACTTCTTTATAAGCTATAATGGGTGACTTGGTGCTATAAAGTTCCCACCTTGATGAGTTTAGAGAAGGATTAAATCCATTTAGATTCTAATACAAGGTAGTCTTGTTTGCCTTGCACTGGCAGGAGGTTAATTCCACAAGTTGAAGACATGTGATATTCTTAAAACATTCCTAATACCAAATAGGACCTTAGCCTTCTTATTCATCCATGAAAAGGAACTAGTTAACAGAATCACATGCATAATTATAAACAGATTTGTCTGTTCCTTCGTATGATGAAATAGTTAACTCAACACATTTGTCGTAACATTCCTTTATGTGAAATAATTTCATTGCATGTTCTACAAGTTACTGATCATGCTTAAATTGATTGGTCAAGTAACAATATTTTACTGTGTTTGTCAGGTGTCTTGTACATGCAGTATTTATGAATATCGAGAGTATTACTCTTAATATCACAATTTTTACAATTTGACTTCTGAAATGTTGTTTTGATAAAATTAGGTAACAGAATCATGTATATCTCTTATTGATCATTCAGCTGGTTGACCAGTTAGTGTGATACTATGGTTAAATGTTGTTGTGCCTATTCAATTTAGATTCTTTGGAAAAATTTTCTAATGGTATTGGAGATTGAAACAACCTTAATGTCCGTAAGTGAATTACAACATCAAAAGAAATGAACATTCCACCTTATCAGCGAGTTTGTTGAGATGTTTTGCAAGAACCTTGTCAGAACTTTTATGTATGTAACAGGATTCTTAATGCTGTTGATGCTCTTTCTTTTTCAGGTCCAACTTGCAAATCCAAACCAACTTAATGATCATTATGCCTCTAAACATCCAAAGGAGAAACCTCCAGCAGAATCAAGCTAGTACAGAAGTTCCTTAGAGCAAATAGTACAAAAGTTCCAAAACAAAATTTGCTCTTAGGTGTCTCAGTGTTTCTGCTTCCAAGCCAGAATGCAACATGTTTAGTATTTTTTTAAATGTGCATTATTGTAAGATTTTCTGACATTATGATAATATTATCTGGTTGTATCAGGGCATGCCAACTTAAGAGTATGCAACAATACATAAAATAACATCCCTTTGTTGCACCTCTTAAGGCAACACTCTTTCCTAAACAACTATAAGTAACTGCAAAATTAAAATATTATGGTCATGCTATGTTATTTCTTTTGTTGTTCTTTTGCTGCTGTAATTCACTTAAGGGCATTATGGTTGTTTAAATCCTTTTCTTCTCATGTCTCATTCCCTATCTGTCATAATGAATCTATGGGAACCATAACACTCTTCCTTGAACATTCTTATTGTGTTTTAGAATGAGTCTAACTCTTTCTTTTACAAACTTTTTGCAGAACTTGTAATTTGAGGGGTGTTACCTTTTATAAATTCTAACAATTGATTACTAACTTTTTCCATTCTAACAAAAGAATGATTCTTTCAAGAACTGAATTGCTAATACATTTAAGTCAACACATTAGACGAAGAAAACATGTTGAAACACCAGCACTGTCACAAATCTTTTCCCCTGCCCTAATACATTATTTTTCACACTTGCTGAGAAAAAATAAATTTTGACACCCCTTAGTTCAAGTTCTTATTTGTCTTGGATTGATCTATTTTGAGGCTTAGTTTGTTGTTGGTTTTTGTTACATCATCGTAGATTCATGGCTGGTTTAATAAACGAGAATATTTATTTCAAAACCCTGTTTGGGCAGTAACGCCACATGCTACAATAATTTGTTTTCCATTTTTTAGGTTTTCCTTACACTTGCCAAACTTGCAGGCACTTTTGTATTTAATTCAAAGATGAAAAACTTACACTTGACAGGGTCCTTGGTTTCACGGGTTTGTTTTGCTACTTTCTTCATCCCAATTGGATTCATATAATTAAAGGTTGTAAATTTCAAATAATATAGGGTATAAAGTTAATTTATGTATGTCTCTTAAAGGAAATTGAGTTAAGTACTCACTTGTCTGGTTATCTTTTTCTAAACTATTCACAGCTTATAATTTGCACCGTTTCTGCAATACGGTGCCCTTAATTTGTGTTTCAATTGCAATTACAAGTGGTCCTGCGTCTACAATTGGATTGGGAGCTCAATTTGTTTCAGAGTGTTTGTTTGACCTTTGTTAAACTTGTTGCATTTTTTTCTTTAATATTTTTCTATAAATTAACTTAGCCACTTTCACTTCCATTCATTTATTTCTTTTCCTCCTATACTAGCTATCATAAGTTCATAATACTCTTTAAATATGTTCAGTTATGTAGTTTTTGGCGACCCCAAACATGGTGGAAATGAATATTATGTTTGTGAGGAGACCAAACCAAAATTTGAAATCTTCATTGCACCCGCAGCCATCTCGTGGTTTTTGATTTCAAGTTTTGGTTTGGTCTTTCGCAAACACTATACTCAAGAGTCCTTTCCTCACATCATATAGGCAGTCGCAAAGGGTGATGCAGCCATACACTTAGGGCATAATGCTAACTAGAATTTTTGCTGCAATAGCAATGAGAACTAGTTTGTTTTCAAACTCGAGTACCTCAATTTAGCTCTGACTAGTGACATGCTTTCTGCTTAGGAAGATGTATCAAGTTTAAATATTCAACGAGAAATCTCCAAATATCTTTTTCTGCATATTTGGTTCCTCTGAGTACAGAAGGCAAATATATAAGGTATGTACAGGTATAAGAAAATAATACAGAAGCAATACATGTTTTACAACAGCATATCCCCGGACTTAATGCTCAAGAGACATATCCCTACATAAACAATACGAAAGAAAATGTTTCCCTGTATCAACTTTCAAAAGAAAATGTTCATGTACTCTTATATCAAGTCCTCTCCTTTCCAAAATTCTCTGTAATCAAAAGCTACTATAAAATTTAGTTCCCTCTCTCGGCCAAACTTAGAATCATATAATAAATTGAAACAAGAAATAGTTAGCTATGAAGATTTGACTCATTTAGTTAGATTCATGAGCGAGCCTGTTTAAAAGAGTCGTCAACAAAGCATCCCTTCTCTCTGCCCTACTTTCTTCCCTCAGTCTCCTATGTTCTTCTCTCTCCCTCCATTCCTGCTCAATCAATAATCTCTCCCTTTCAAGCTTTTCCATTGACTGTCGCCATTCCTGTTCAAACAATTGTCTTTCATGTGCGCGCCTTTCCATCATCTCCCTCCACTGCATCTCCATCCTTAGTTGTTGCTGGAAAAAATCCTTTAGCATTTCCTGAACATTACTAGTACTACTGCTTGCATTGTTTGCCCTTGAAGACTTCTCCATTGCAATTTTGCTAGCTTTCCTTTTACGTGTATTGCTTCTCGCTGGTTTCTCCTCTTCACTGTCGTCTTCAACTTCCTCATCATCTTCTGAGAATTCCTCTGAGGATCGATATCCACTTGTTCTTTTCACTCCTTTCTTTGCTTGAGCTGGACGAGTTTCAGATTCAAGAAGTAACCGTTGCATGTTATGTGCTCTTTCAGTAAAAACTGCATGCAATTCTTCAAAAAATGGGCATTGCTTGCCATGCTCTGGATCAGATGTCTCTTTTCCCTGCATAAATATCATCATGTGATTTTTACTTAGTATAGCAAACATTTCAGTATTAAAAATATGGCTTTTATCGGCATTTTCAAATAAAAGAAAACTGTTGCACAGTTGCATGATATTATTCCACCAACATGATTATACAAACTCACCAAATACCAAATCATACATATTAGGCGGTTTTATGCATATTAGTGTGTTCGTTTTGGCGAGTTGAAGAAGTTTTTACTCTCCATAAGCAAATGTTAGTTATTATCGTTGTTGTTACTATGTTATCTTAAAAGCTAAGGTTTGAATCTTGCACTTTCTTCTCAAACTTCTTCAGATGTCTCAACTCAACCACTTAAGCTACACATAGGGACGAAGGAGTTATATTGGTGAGCTTCAACTTTCAAGCATCACGATTTCTGCACATGACCCATAGTTGAAGGGGTTTCTTGAACTTTAGCCCAAAAACTAAAAAAACACACCACCCAAACAAATCATATCATGGCATAAAACTTTCATACATATGAACCTAATCCAATATTATGGTCCCCAGTCTCCACTTGTTTATCCACACATATCGAATTATACATTTCAATATTTCTGAACTAGTCCACATGGTAATAAAACAAATGTTGGATATAAATAAAGGTAGATAGAATACATATATTATGACTTCTTTTGCACAAGCAAAAACTGAAGATCAAAAAACAAAAACAAAATGAGGTATCAGTACCATACTATAAGGAAAATCTAAGTAACAACAAATTTTGATTGAACATTTTTTTCTGTACAAAATTTCCTATAATATAATATTAATATTGGAAATAACATTATTATATAACATAACATACATATTATAAAATTGAAACAAGTAAATTAAATTAAGACCACCATTATACATAAAAGACTCTTTTCAGCTAGTATCGGATAATGAGAATGCCCTCTTGGTTGGTAGCTTCCAAATGAAAATAAAACAACCGGTTAAGATTAAAAATCATAAGTACGACTACGGTTCTAAAGATTGAAAATTATAACTAATACTATGGTTTTAAAAAAGGTCTGAAAAATGACCACGACAAAACAATATCAGCAGAAGCATTATCATTTTTTCCACCAGTTTTAACATAGTGAACAAATTCATGGAAACAACTGCGAGTTACGTCATAACGAAAAGCCAATATGACTGCAGTGAAATGTTGTTCCCAAAAATTATGATCCTTATCTCCATTTAACGTTTCCCCTAGATCGCATTTGTCATTTAAGTCTCTTTAACTCGCTCTGATTATCTCTTATCTCTTCTAATCCTCTATGTGCTTGCTTCTACATTCCTATTTTGAATGTTTTACGGAATCTATGTTATACTTAAGGTTGTCAACTACATCATTAGACACTAGAAATGCATAACTCAATCCATTGCAAACTCAACCGCTATTTAAAACCTTGAAACCTTGAGTACTACTACATCATTAGACACTAGAAATGCATAATTCAATCAATTGCAAACTCAACGGCTATTTAAAACCTTGAAACTTGAGTACTACTACATCATTAGACACTAAAAATGAATAATTCAATCAAATGCAATCATTTATGATTATGAACCCTAGTAAAAAAAACTCAAATACCAAACAAAAACAGAGAAAATGGAAAAGAAAAAAAAAGAACCTTATAGCGATTAACAAGATTTTTCCACTTGCATTTGCATTGTTCAGGGCTCCTCCTATAACCTCTCTCCCTCATCTTGGAGCTCACCACTTCCCAAAGCGTCTTGTTCCTCTTCGAAGCAGTGAAGTCCCTCTCCAACTCCGCGCGTATCGCTATGAACTCTCTCGTCTCCTGCTGACTCCACTGCGGCTGAGACGGAAGCCTCTCTTCCCTTACAGGCGCCGGAGACATCTCGCGGGAAATCATGGACGTTGTCGGAATAAGCAACGACGGGGAGATTAACCCGAGGCGAGCAGCCAGGGTGTCATCTCCTCCTCCACCACCGTACATTCCCGTACTTCCACCGCGAAGTGAATTTGGAATTAGGGTTGTGAAAAATTGAAAGTGTTGCACGTAAAATTCGAAGCTTGGAAATAAAATAAAGAAAATAAAAAGAAAAACGGTGTTCTTTCTTTCGGCCAAGTTTTCTTTGTCGACAAGGGAGGAATCGTTGACTAATGCTAAATTTTCAAAAATGAAGTTTTTTTTTTTTCTTTTCAAAATGGTAATGTGGTTTACGGTTATGCCCCTTCATTTAATTCTTGTCGGTGTAAAAGCTACGGCAAATGTGGAAGGATATTCCGGGGTTCTAATTCTTGATGTCGGGCATTTTTAGCTGCTATCAAAGACTAATATAAAATTATTCTCTAATAAATTACCAATCCATTAAAAATATTGTATACATTTTTTAAATTATTTTTTCACTATAAATTATTTATATTAAAAAAACATATAAATTGATCTCACCTGATCAAAAAGAATTAATGGTCTATCACGCGTTGTTGAAGTATAGTTTTTACCGAAGGTACAAAGAAGCAGAGGGTGTACCTGCAAGTCACTCTGATATTTAAGTGAGTAAAGGATCAGAGTGGAAGAACAAATACAGAGAAGTAGGTCTAGAGAATGGAATACCTGACTCTCTAGTAAAAGAGGGTATTTATAGAGAGACTCCAACGCACGGTGAAAGGTTACATGCATTAAGCTAGACTGTCAGACCCAACCCAAGTAACTGTTAGAGTTTACGTGGCGTAGTAAATATCAGCACGTGGTCTTCGCCCTAGATCAATTGTCCCGTGATCTTCGGAAAATGGACTAACCAACTCTTTCGGAGGTGGAGAACGTGGGGGAAACATGTAAGTCTGCTCGTGAAGGGATTCATCTGCCCGACGTAGGTGGCTTGTGCCTGACATGGGAGGATTTTGCCTTATTGGGCCTCCCTAACATAATGTTGGGTTGGGCCTACCCGATTGAGGGGTAGATCCCCGCCCAGTCCAGAATAGGAGCCCCCAAGTCGTTGCTTCGAAGCAGAGGAGTGATGACTTAAGAATAAGCCATGTCGATGACAAATAAGGAAGGCGGTCCTAGGCCCGTAAGATGGAGAACAAAGTGACACAGTCAGTCACGGTTGCCACGTGTCTGGTGCCCGTTGCCCATCTTAGGGCAGCTAGTCATAGGGGTACTTGATTGCCTAGGGGCGTCTCGAGTTTCGTGTTAGGCTTATAAATGGCTGGGACCTACCCCCTCGTTACTTTCGCTCTCAATTCTAACGAACGCACCTCTTTCTTGCTCTTCCACACTTACGTCGCCGTGCAAACGCCGCAACCGTGTCATCTGCCGCGAAGTCTGTCGTACCTATACTCAAGCTATTGTGTCAAGTAAGTCCTTTCTTCATTTTCTTTTGTTTCTTTTATTTTCGACAGCTCCTGCGGCAGACACAACGAGTTCCCGATGAGGATGTGGATTTTTCGGCGATTACGGCGGGATTCCCTTTACCTAGGATGAAGTCCCCGAGGTCAATTGATAGGTTTTGGACAAGTGTCCCAAGGACATATGATGGTGTTAGATGAGTACCCCAGGGACAGATGATAGGGTTTGGATGAACACCCCAGAGACATAGGATATGTATAGATGAATGCCCTGGGGACGTACGCTAGGTATAGATGAATGTCGCGGGGACGTATGTTAGCACTGAACGAATGTCCCAGGGACGTATGCTAACGCTGGATGAATATCATGTGGATACGATGGTAAACCACGTGGGGAAGTGGATGTCGAGGTCGGAGAAGCCTAGGTCGTAGTTATCGTCCTCTTTGCCCTTTCACTTGAGTTGTGGTGGAAGAGTGAATTTGATCTTGAAACATCGAATTCACCACTTTCCTCTGCTTTTCAGATGAACATGGTCGCGTAGATACCAGGAGTTATGAGAGTCGATGTAGAGCCAGAGTCTCCTGCAGCCCCGTCCGTCGAGGGGCAGGATAGGACAGTCGAGGACTGAGTTGGGGAGGATCCCCTGAGTACGCCTTCCCGTTTCGTCGAGGATGACTCTGACTCTTTCGCCACGGTCGAGGATCGCCGTGAGGGTTCCTCTGTGAGCTGACAAGCATATAGACCGCGGACCCATCATCATATATGCTCGAGCTACGGGAATATGTGATTTCCCATGCATGAGTTCTGCTTTCGTGAAGCGGGACTTCGGCTGCCCTTCTTGGATTTTCAACTAGGGGTCTTCGACTAGTTAAGGTTGGCGCCTTCGGAGTTGCACCTTAATGCGATTGCTTTTATCCGGGAATACGAGCTTGTCTGTCGGCACCTTGAGATCGGGGTCACTCTCACTCTGTTCTTTCGGCTCTTTCATCTGCAAAGACAAAAGGTTGATGGCCAACAGGGATGGGTGTCATTGAAACAGTCGAGGAGATTTTTCAGGGAGTACATGGATTCTGTCCGGACTTTCAAAGATCGATTCTTTGTGCTTCGGCCCGTGTTTCATGAGGCATGCACCTCATTGTACCATCGTGAAGCCCGGGAGGTGAACGGGCAAAGGGAAGAGGTCATGATGCCGAGGATCCCCTTAGACTGGATGGAGAAACACTTCAAACAGAGCACGAACCACTATATCGTGTTGGAGGGTATCTTGGACGAGGAAGACCAAGTAGGCTATCAGAGGTTGGTGGCCTTCGTGGCCAGCTTAACCCCGGCGAAACTCATGACGCCCGATGGTAACTTTATTCTCGATAGGCACGGGAATATCCTCCAGCAGTCGGGGCTCATTAATATGAGGGCTCTGCTCGAATGTTCTTCTGACGAGGAAGTCTTGCGTCTGTTAGGTAGTGGGTCGTCTTCTACTCGGCTCGTCCCGGGATCTGTTATCTTGTGATTCGCTAATCCTTTGCTTTTTTTGTTTTGCAGGAAATATGTCGACCATGCAGGAGCGCATGAAGTGACTAACGGCCACCAGATATGGGGTGAAGAGTGACAAAGGGAGGGTGGTTCAGGTGCAACAACAACTTATTGCCGAGCAAGGAGGAGGAAGTTCTTCATCGTCACCGCAGGGGAGCCAATCTCCCTTGTCGCAAGGGACTCCGAAGAGGGTGAGGGTCCATGGGCCAGAGACTGTAGTCAACCTTACTGAGGGTGGTGCGGATGAGGGGTTCCTGATTCCCCTTTGTCATCTGCATCCTGGTTTCTTCTGTGGGGCCAGGTCTTCTGTTGTGTCGGCCGCGGAGGCGAAGGAGGTTCTCGGGGCCAATGAGGAAACGAGGATACAAAGGTTGATTGAGGACTTGGATGCGATGATACGATTCTTCTCGACTGCCTTGGCTCTGAGCAACGAGGGTCGCTCTTCTGCTGATCTTGCCAAACTGCGGTGGGGGGGGGGGGGATCTTGCAGCTGTTGAGTCGAAGATGACCAAGTTTGCTGCCGAGTTGGACTTGACCAGGGAGGACAATGTCGTGCAGCGCAGGCGGAACAGTGAGGCTGAGTAGCAGTTGAAGGCCGCTAGGGAGGACAAATTGAGGCTGCAGGCACGAGTCACGGAGTTGGAGGTTGCCCTTCGTCCTGCCGAGGAGGAAACCGATGAGGAAAAACTCCTGCTTTATCGGGTTGAGCTGGTGGCGAGGTTTAGGGAGCTCGAGCAAGATTACTTAAGGGCTGTCGAGGTTGGCTATGCGAGCACCGTAAAGCAGCTTAGGCTAGTAAACCATGAGGTTTCTCTTATCACCGAGGGGACAGGGCCCTATCACCAGGTCGTCGACAGATGGGTGGTAGTGATAGGAACTGAGAATGATGACGACAGCCCGGCTACCAAGGAGGAAGAGCGGTAGCGACAGGAGACCTCTTAGGGTTTGTTTCAGTATTTTTGGGTATGCGTGCTCGTGTTGATTTTTCTGGCCTGCGTGCCTATTTTTGTTGAGATGTATTGTCGGGCCTACATGTCCCTTTTATGTAACTATGTACAATGGGCTCTGCCCGCGTTTTCTTGAATGACTTATTATTTTCTATTGTGTGTGCTTATATGTTTATTTTCTTGTATGTATGAATGTTGTTTGTTTGTTTACTTGCTCGACATATAGTGTAACCGACTGTGTGGAGAGCGAGAAGGATGGTCGGAGATGGTTCCCGACCAAATAGAGTTCAAGTCCTTGGCAAAGGCCCTTCCCTCAGGTGTGAACTTCCCATCGCGAGCTGGATGTTCTGTCCTACTGGTACTGTAACGCCCCGATTCTGATTCCCATTATTTTGTGGAGTCTTTTATTTTATTGGGTGATTATTATGTTATTTGTGATATTGGTGTGATAATATGTTATGTGTGCATATTATGTTATTTTACCAATTTTGAGAGTTTTCGGGGAAAATAGATTGGAGGGTATTTTAGACATTTCTTATTTAATGATAAGATTGGATATTTGGTGAGAAAATGAATTGGTAGATATTTTGAGAGAAGAAAATATAATAGGGAGAAAAGAAAGAAAAGGAAAAACATAAGAGAAATAGAAAGAAGAGAAAGGAAGAGGAAGAAGAGAAAGAGGAGAAAGAGAGGAAAACTTGGAGAATCATCAAGAACAATATCTAGGCTTCGATTTAATCGGGTAAGGGTGTGAAATCTTATTATCTTCTCAATGTGTATGATTATGTATGTGTTGTTTGGATTTGTTTGGATGTTTTCCCCATTTTCCACTTCTAGGTCAGAAATGGTTTAATCGATAGAAACTGAAGTTTTAACGGTTAGAATCTGGAATAAATGGTGTAGATTAGTCGAGAAATATTAGGCTAAGACTACTGGAACTTGTTGGAATAGAATCGGTTGATTTGGTGATGATTTGATGATTTTGGACAGTTGGGGTTTTGAACATCGCAGATGTTCGCTAGCACCTTCGCTAGGCGAGCAGGTCGCGAGTGTTCGCTGTAGCGAGCTAGTAGCGAATGGTCCCAGACTTGCATAGAATGTAATTGAGCCTCTTCGCTGGTAGTGAGTGAGGTAGCGAGGGGTTCGCTAGGCGAAGCCCCAACGAGT